TAAAATTAGTTAAACCTGAAAATGTGCAGATTGAGTCAGAGGGATGTTTGGAGCTGCTTTTATGGTCACTGTCCAAGTTCACTTTCAGGTCTTTTTAAATCCTTACTGAAAATTATAGCGAAGAAAATGTAAATCCACAAACAACCATGTGACCTGCAGTTACACCATCCGTTTAAAATGTGGAGGTGAGCCTCCTCCACCTCCTCCGTGCAGCTCCACGCTGACGGGGAGGATCTGTGTTGTTGGAGAAGAAGAATGTGGCCCTGCAGGTCTAGAGTCTGACACTCAGAAGCAGACCTGATGTGTTTGATAACTGATTATTGTACCTGGCCACGGCTCTGCCACAAACACGCTGCCAGGCCGAGCAGGGCGGCTATAAATAGACATGAAGCTGATGTGGATCAGACCCTGTTTACTGTTTGAGAGAGTAAAAAACACATTCCTGTTGCATACTGCCCCAGCAAACACAGAGCGTGTGTGACCTGTTGGGTCGGTTTTGTAAAGCAACTTTCTGTCACATGTAAATAAAATCAGTGAAAGTGCAGAAAGCACTGATCCTAAAGGAGGGAGGGGTTAAACAGCCATTTCTAAAATAAACAGAATAACGTCTGAAGCGAGCAGCGTTCATGTTTTACAGCTGACGGTACGACGGCTGAATAACTGATTATCCCACAGCACAAATGTCACACATCAGCTCCAGAGGTTAGTCATGGAGTTCCCCAGGGTTCTGTGCTGGGACCAATTATTTTCACTGCCTAAGGGAAGAATGTATAACATGAAAGCACTGCGTGCATTTCCATTGTTCTGCAGGTAATGCCTTGTTATATTTAGCGATACAACCAGATACACAAGTCAGTTAAATTACAGACATGTTTTAAAGACAAAGAGCGAGATGACTCCTGTTTCCTGCTGCTAAACTCAGATTAAATTGAAGTTACTGTATTTAACCTCAGAAACACATCGACTAATCTGATGGCATTACACTGGCCTCCGTTAACACTGCAAGAAACCTTTGAGTCACTTTAATCAGTGTCTCCTTCAACAAACACATTAAACAAATATGCACGACTGCTTACTATAAA